GAAAACGCAGGTGTGTGGCCTGAGCATTGCTCTGTCCCCCAGCCCACCCAAGACCAGGGCGCCGTCACTGGGGATGGCTTGAATGGGGCTGGAGAGATGGTTCAGAGGTTAAGTGCGTGGGGTGCGTTTTCAGGCGACTTGGTTTAATTCCTAACACCTACAGCTCAGAACCTTCGATAATAGCTCCCATTCCAGAGGCCTCAGAGGGCACCAGACAAACTAGTGGCACACAGGCATACGTGCCGACAAAAAACCTACTCACATAACATAAAAATAAAGAAATAAAAATTTCAGCCGGGCGGTGGTGGCGCAGGCCTTTAACCCCAGCATTCAGGGAGGCAGGGGCAGGGGGATCTCTGTGAGTTAAAGACCAGCCTGGTCTACAAGAGCTAGTTCCAGGATAACCAAAGCTCCACAGAGCAAAACACAAACAAAAATTTAAAAAGAACATTGGCTCAGTGACTGGGCCTATACAAAAAAATTAAAATGTGCTAACTGTCCAGACTCCTGAATTTTGGACAAAGTCAGAATGGAGACTGACTCTCTGTGCTTCTCATACAAGCATGGGCAGACACACGTCCCTCTCCTTGGATGTAGACTAAAGGTCTCTAGGCTGGTGGAGAAGAGACAAGTAAGGAAAGTTTTCCCTGGGGCCCACGTGTGTAAGCTCACTTCGTAGAGTGCCTGTTTGGCAAGCAGGAAGTCTGGGTTTGGTCCCCTGCACCACATAAAAGCAAGTGTGATGGTGCCTGCCTGTGACACCAGCCCTCTGGACTTGGAGGAGGAAGATCAGAAGTTCAAGTCTGAGCTCAGCTTTGGCTGGTTGAGATCCTGATCTCAAAAAAAAAAAAAAAAAAAAGTTTTCACCTGGTCAGGAACGCCTGTAGCCATCTGGTGGCCACCTGAGGAACTGCAGGCTTGTCAGTGAGATGACTTCATTCTGGGAGAGGGTGCCTTCCACCTATGCAAGAGTGGGAAGCATCCTGGGCTTGGGCACAGCTTCACAGCCCAGTTTTACCTCTCACGGTGTGGTCTGGGGAAAGTCCCTTGGCTTCTATGAAATGTGGGTTCTGTCTCTTAACTTTGCAGGGTTGTTGGTGGGAAAGATGGGCACATCAGTCGGTGGTGGGAAAGAAGTAGCCGATAGGGGCAAGAAGGGTCACCCTTCACCTGGACAGAAGGTCTCAGGGAGGAGACAGCACATAGGAGTGACCTCAGCCGGGTATGGTGGCTCACCTCTAATCCCAGCTGAGGGGGATCCCCACACGTCTGAGGCCAGACTGGCCTACAGATGAGACACACACATGCACACTTGTATGCACAAGTGGACACACATGCACACATATGTACACGCACAGATACACACACACACACTTTGGTGCCTGAGAGAGCACACATGTGAAAGTCTATAGCTTCACGCAGTCTTTGAGTCCCCAGTTTTCTCAAGTTAGAAACACCCTCACACTTTCCCTCCCTGGCAGCCATAAAGGCAACCTTCGCTATAAAGCACACAGTGACAGGCAGATGAGGAAGTTCACGACCATCTGCCTGCTTCAGCAGAAACAAACAGTCGTTAATGTCTTCGCCCTGGGATGACTGTCACCAAGACAGAAATTTGAAGAGGAAAACTAGCCCGAATGTCCAGGACCACACAGGATGTCATCTTCATATTTAGATTCATAACCTATTTTGGTGGCAGGATGTTGGGGGCACTGTGGGGGGGGGACACACAACTTGCTTAGATGGAGTTCGTGATTATTCTATAAAGAAAAATTCATCCAAACACAGATTGTAGGATATGACCTGCAAGAACTGAAGATCTCAAGAGAAGGGATTAGGATGGGAATGGTGGGGTTGGGGTTAGGATGGTGATGGTGGGTTCGGGGGTTGGGATGAGAATGATGGGGTTGGGGTTGAGATGGGGATGGTGGGGGTCAGGGGTTGAGATGAGGGTGGTGGGGTCGGGGTTTGGGATGGGGATGCTGGTGTCGGGGTTTGGGATGGGGATAGTGGAGTCAGGGTTGGGATGAGGATGGTGGGGTCCAGGTTAGGAGGGGGAGGGGGAAATGGCTCAGCAGTTGTAAATAAATACTTGCCGCTCTTCTAAAGGACCCAACGCCCATCCAGACAGCTCACAACCACCATAGTATAGATTTGATACTATCTTCTGGCCTCTGTGAGTACCACACATACTCAACCTAGAAACACACTCATACACACAAATAAGAATCACAATCCTTTTGAGACAAGTTTTCTCTGTGAAACAGCCCTGGCTTTTCTGGGTTTATTTCCCAGCACCCACATGGTAGCTCACAACAGTCTGTAACTCCACTTCCAGGGGTCTGACCCCTTCACATCAATTAACATAAAATAAAGCTAAATAAATTTAAAAAATAAGTTTAAATTTTTTTAATTTATAAAAAAAAGAGGAAGAAAATATCTGTAGGGACAGGTGGACAGAATGGAGAGGCCAAAGGTCAGTGTTGGAACTTGACAGGAGCACCTTTGAGGACTTGACTTATAGTGACAAGAGTTTGTTTTTATTTTGGTATAGGGTCTCATGTAGTCCAGGTTGACTCTGTAGCTTAGGAAGACCTCAAACTCCTGATCCTTTACCTCCCAAGAGCTGAGATTATGGGCGTGTGTGTGTGTGTGTGTGTGTGTGTGTGTGTGTGTGTGTCCCCATTACCAGCACCGAGTCTCACTAGCCAGCGCACCGGTGAGCTCCAAATCAGCCACTCAGAAGGGCAAGTGTTTCTCAAATTGCCGTTTCCCTCCCAGCACTGCCCTTAGCCCTAGCACCTCGTTCCTGCCCCCTGCTCTGGAACCAGAACTCTGTGGGGGACTTGGCTCAAAATGGGGAGGAGTCGATGTCCAAGTGTTGGGGTGCTGTCTTCTTTCTTGGACACACCCTCACAAGGACTATGGGTCTCCCTGTGTTTCTCTTTCTCTGAGTTTGTTTCTTTGTAATTTGCTTAGATATTATTTTATCTACATATGAGTGGTTTGTTGTTGGTTTGTTTTAGTTTTCGAGACAGGGCTTCTCTGTGTAGCCCTGGCTGTCCCGGAACTCGCTCCGTAGACCAGGCTGTCCCGGAACTCGCTCTGTAGACCAGGCTGACCTCGTCACTGCTCCATTTGTTTCTCCTTTTGACTGTTCTGTTGCCTTTTTTCAGGCAACAGACAATAGTTACTGACTGCCATTGTATGTCAGGCACTGTCCCAGCACAAACTAGACACAGTCGCTGCTTAGCCTATAGTGGGACAGACTCAGACTCCTAGCAAACAGAAAGAGAAACCTGGATGAGTATTTTAAGAGTTCTGCACACATTAGCCGGGCGGTGGTGGCACACACATTTAGTCCCAGCACTCGGGAGGCAGAGGCAGGCGGATCTCTGTGAGTTCGAGGCCAGCCTGGGCTACAAGAGCTAGTTCCAGGACAGGCTCCAAAGCTAAATAGAGGAGGGGAGGGACAGGGACAGGATTAGTTGGCCATCTGTGACGGGGGTTCCCAGGAAGCCTGTCTGGGAAGAGGCTTAAAAGCAGAGCTCTGGAGGGAGCAGAGGGTTTGACACACAAGACCAGACCACACTAAGAGCCTGCAACAGGAGGGTCTCATCTACCTGGTCCCTCAAAGGCAGAGATTCCTGTCACCACTCCTCACTTTCTGCCTTACTTTCTTTCAATTTAATTAGTTAATTTGTTTATTTTATCACTTTTCATTTCCTTGGTGCCCACCTATGCTTCCCTGGTGTCCTCCACTGACCAAATATACCACTGACAGCCAATACAAAGCCAGTGTATTTGCCTCCCAGTAGGTACTAATATCACTATTTTAGAAGTGAAAAACAGAACAAAAAATTAAAAAAAAAAACAAAAACAGGCTCAGAGAGCTTGAGAGACTCACTCCTCAAAGTCACACAACTAGGAAATGGATCAGGGTTCGAAGCTGGTCTACTCCTACCAACTGAACTCACCATATCTGACCCAAAATATGCAATATGCCGTTGTCTTCAGCCCTGATCCCAACGGATCTAAGAGGGTCTGATGTTATATGCCTGTTGGCCTTCCTTCCCTCAGCCTCCTACCCTACCCTAACTCCTGATTCCCATCACCCTCCTTACAGTCTTGAACATTCCAGAGAAGATCAAGGGGAGAGGGGGCAGCACTGGGTCCTAGGGTCACAGGGGTCACTGATAGGGCTTTCTCTAGTGCCCGGGCAAGCAGGGCTGGGAAAGCAGTTTTCCCCCTGCCCCACCCACTGGGGTACTTAAGCTGGGCGCTCAGAGAGGCTGCTCTGAGCATAGAGCTGCCCAGTCCGTCCCTTTCCAAGTTCTTCCCGGCTCCCTATCTCCTGCTGCTTCGGGGAAGTGACCCCCACCCCACCTCCCCGCACTGGCTTTCCAGATCTTTCAATAAATAATTCAGATTTTGAAATCTTGCCAGACGCACCCTCCCGCGCTGCGAGGACGCTATTGGGCCCACATAAGTGACGTCACCGAGTTCCTTATCCCAATCCCAGCATCACGGGACCTGTCCTGGCAGCAACTTACCCGCTGGGTCACCGTCCTCCTACCCTGTCCCCTCGCTCTGGGGGCCCACTCCTCACAAGTCATTTGGTGGTCATTCCAGGACCCCACAGTCCTCATCTAGCCTTGCCGCCTCGGTCCTTTAGCACGTGACAGGGTCACAGAGACCTGAAGTTCCTTCACCGGAATACTCATCTCCAAAGCCTTGTCACCACCTCTGAGACCCTGGGGTCCCCGAGCTTCATCATGCTGCAGTCACCCTGACACTGCTCTGGCTGCCCTGACGAGCCCTATCCCTACCCCCACCATCAACGTCCCACAGCCACCGTCCTCCAAGATCTTGTCAGCACGCTCATATCGTCACAGCCACCCACCTCCCTACTCCCTCGTGCTCCTGTCACTGTCACCTCAGGGCCCTATCAGAGGCAAAGCCTGTCATCCTCACCGGGGACGCCCATTCAGCTCCATCACCTGTCTTGTGTCAGCTTATTTCTGACACCCGAGGGAGCTCGTCACCCCCGCAGACTCTCCCGGTCCCTTGTCCTCTTCCCACATCCTCAGTGTCTTCCCTGAGTCTTTTCTGAGGTCCTCCCTAAGCTCCTCCAAAGCCCCCGACCCGCAGAGGGCGCCGCGTCAAGGACAGCGCGGGCCGGCTCCGGAGGGGGCGGGGCCGCGGCCACGGTCACTTTTTATGAATGGGGGAGCGGGCGGCGCGAGACCTCATTACTATGCCGCGCAGCGCGCGTTGCGCTCCAGCGCGCCGCGCCCATTGGTCGACTGGGCTTCTGACGTCACCAAACTGGTGGCCGGGGGCGGGGCGGGGTGACTCACGCCGCGTCTCCCGCGGCCGCGGGGGCTTCTTGGGGTCCGCGCACACCTTGCTCTGCCAGGACCTGAGTGGAGGCTCCCCGCGGCCCGGCCGCGCCCGGTCCTGAGCGGTGAGTAGCGGGCTTTGCCGCGGGTACCCAGAGTCTGGGAAGACACGCAGGGTTCAGGGGCTCTGGGCCGGCGAATGGCTGCATGTGGCTGCTCGGGGTCTGGAGGTCGAAGCTGGGATTCTGGATTAGCAGATTCTGCATTAGCATGCAGCTCCCCCAAGTGTTAAGGTGCTCGAGCCGTGTGATGGGGTGACCCGGCAAAGGGTGAACATTCATTCCTGCGGGACCCGAGGCCCTGGAGGGACGGGCAGTCATCTGATATTGAGGGGGCAGGACGCATCTGGGGCGGGCACCTGGGCGTCCGAGTAGCGGGAGGTGTCTTATTTAGGGATTCAACTCTCCAAGACAGGAGGCGGAGTCAGGCCCAAGATCCAGGTGTCCCGGCAGAAGGAGGGGTCTGACTCAGGAATCCAGACTTCTACCAGGGGGTGTCTGCGACAGAGACCCAGGGGTTAGGTGGAGAAAGGGGGGGAGGTGTCTGTCCGGAGACAGAAGTCTGGAAGAGAGTGGGGGGGGGGGAATGAGGGACACGAGTTCCCAGGTGTTACCCTGGGAATGTCGATTGGGGGCTGGCAAGGAGCTGCACCGGCTCTGCCCGGGGGCGGAGCCCAAGGCTGGCAGCGCTGCGAATCATGAGGGGTCTGGGAGCTTCAGGAACCGAGTCATCTCTGACGGCAGGGAGCTGACTGCCCTCCTTCCTGACATGTTTCCCTCCTCTAGTCATGAGCCTTTAAGGTTCACCTTGAATCTCTGTGCTTCCCCATTCACTTACGGTAAGTTTTGATCCACTTCTCTGACCACATGTGGCAAAGAGGTCTTTAAGACCTAACAGGAATGGAAAGGGGGGTGAAGAGACACAGGGGAGAAATGGCCAGGAAAGGGGGCCCCTGTTTAGAGGCCCCGGGGCATCAGAGGACAAAGCATGGGGCAAGAGCCTCAGGACATGAACTGGGGGACAGAGCAATGGTACCCTACTTGTTATCCGAGAGGTATCTCTTCCAAGGACCTCTATCAGGACACAGGCTTGCCAGCATCTCATAGGGCCTTTCTTCTACAGGTACCATGATTTGGGGTACAGGCAGCTCCATGGCCTGGCTCTCAGCTGGCTCAGGCAGCCTGAACGTGAGTGGTGTGGACCCTGCAGAGGAACCCACAGGCCCAGCTACACTGCTGCCCTCTCCCAAGGCCTGGGACGTGGTGCTCTGCATCTCGGGCACCCTCGTGTCCTGCGAGAACGCATTGGTGGTGGCCATCATCGTAGGCACGCCTGCCTTCCGTGCCCCCATGTTCCTGCTGGTGGGTAGCTTGGCCGTGGCAGACCTGCTGGCAGGCCTGGGCCTGGTCCTGTACTTTGCAGCTGTCTTCTGCATTGGCTCACAAGAGATGACCCTGGTGCTGGTTGGTGTGCTAGCCATGGCCTTTACTGCCAGCATCGGCAGCCTGCTGGCCATCACTGTTGACCGCTACCTTTCCCTGTACAACGCTCTCACCTATTACTCGGAGACGACAGTAACTCGGACCTATGTGATGCTGGCCCTGGTGTGGGTGGGTGCCCTGGGCCTGGGGCTGGTTCCTGTGCTGGCCTGGAACTGCCAGGATGGCCTGACCACGTGTGGTGTGGTATATCCACTCTCCAAGAACCATCTGGTGGTCCTGGCTGTTGCCTTCTTCATGGTGTTTGGCATCATGCTGCAGCTGTACGCCCAGATCTGCCGCATCGTCTGCCGCCATGCCCAACAGATTGCCCTCCAACGACACCTGCTGCCTGCCTCTCACTATGTGGCCACCCGCAAGGGCATCGCCACACTGGCCGTGGTGCTTGGCGCCTTTGCTGCCTGCTGGTTGCCCTTCACTGTCTACTGCCTCCTGGGAGATGCCAACTCTCCGTATCTCTACACCTATCTCACCCTGCTCCCGGCCACCTACAACTCCATGATCAACCCCATCATCTACGCCTTCCGCAACCAAGATGTGCAGAAGGTCTTGTGGGCCATCTGCTGCTGCTGTTCTACTTCCAAGATTCCATTCCGGTCCCGGTCCCCTAGTGACGTCTAGTTCCATCCTGGTGGTTCTGTGGCCTTGACTACTACAGAAGTCCAGAATGTTAGGCTCACCGGGGCTTAGTTCCAACCCCCCAGCTCCGCACCCTTAAGACCCAGCTGGTTCTGGAGTTCTAAGACATTGGGTGTTTTCGGATCTTGTTCAAGATTCTTTCAGGGATCCAGCCCAGCTGGCTGCATGGTTCTAGAATGTTCCAGACGGTGGTTCCAAGTGGTTTGCAATTCCAGAATGCTGGGAATTTTACAGTACCATTCCAAGTCCTTGATCTTCCTTCCCTTGAGTCTTGACCTTGACTATGTCACTTTACTTTTGAATTTCGAAGCTCCAGAGTCAGAGAGGATAATCACTTAGTTGCCTAGATGAAAGATTTATTGCTATATATGTGAACATACAAAAAAAGTATATTTATTTATTTATTATGTATTTATTTATAAATTTACTTATGGGAGAAAGGGGGAAAAAGAGACCCACACTATGAAATCTAGTCTGCACTAGAGTGTCCCCAGCCAGCCTCCTTGTCCCCTTTTCTGACCTCAGTTCCGGAGCGGGAGGATGGAGAAAGAAAAACCACGTATTTTGTTATTTTTGCTTATTTTTTATCAGAGAGATCATAGAAACCAGAGCTTCCTCCCCAGGCCCGCACTGCTTGGGTTTGCAGGAGGAACACACCAGCCTCTGGTTTTTTTTTATTTTTTTAAGAAGCCATCACCTGAGTAACCGAGAATTCCTCTGCGCTGAGGCCCGGCTTCCCTCTGGTGGCCATTTTGGGGAATTGCAACCCGGCGGGGCAGTCGGGACTATAAAACGCACCCCCATCTCCACTTCAGCCTGGCTTTCAGCGCCACAGCCATGGCCTGGGGGCCAGGCCTTACCCTGAGGTGCCCTAGAGGAGGCGGGGCAAGAGCCAGTACCCCACCCCTCTGCCAATCGGGGTATGGTCCCCAGTGCGTTCCTGTCCAGTCCCCAACCCTGGTCAATAAAAAACGATTTTTTGATAAATATTTGTGTTTGTGTATTATACATGGTGTGGAGTGGAGCCAAGAGAGTGGGCTCCCTAAGGAATCCGGGAAACTGAAGACCCAGAGAAGAGTGTGGTTGACACTACAAGATGTCACTGCCCCTCGGACCGGACCCTGGACACCAGCTTGCAAGAACCTCAGCACCCAGGGACAGGAAGCAGGATATTAGACTCTTAGTGTGAGGACACCCACAGTCTGGCCACAGTAGCTAGTTCTGGGTTCAGGCATGCAGAGCATGTTTCTGACATGCAAAGTTCCTTTACAGTGATGGTTTCCCTACACCAGTGTTTCCTCTGGGCACGGCATTGTACCAAGGGTGCTGCACATGCCTCACCAACATCCCTGCACGGGTCACATCGTCCTCATCTTACAGTCACGAGGAAACTAAGCTGAGGTCATAGAGCTAGGAAATACAAGACAATACTCAGACCTGGAACACCTGTTTCCCGAATCTGTGTTCAGTCCCCTGGGCAATGACTTCTCATTTCCATTTTTTTTTTTTTTTTTTTTTTTTTTTGGTTTTTCGAGACAGGGTTTCTCTGTGGTTTTGGAGCCTGTCCTGGAACTAGCTCTTGTAGACCAGGCTGGTCTCGAACTCACAGAGATCCGCCTGCCTCTGCCTCCCGAGTGCTGGGATTAAAGGCGTGCGCCACCACCGCCCGGCTTTTTTTTTCTTTTTTTAAACTGACCCTGGGACTTAGAACTTTCCAGACCTTGCCTTAGATCCTCGGAGCCAGTGGCCTACATTTGGGAGGTGGTCACTGTGGAGCTGGTAAAGCTGCTTCTCCATGTAACAGTGTGTGCAACTGGGTGGAGACTTGAACTTGGGGCTTAGGAAGGAAGGAAGGCCTGTGCTCACCCCAAGGGCAAAGGCAGCTTAGGAGGAAGCTCTGGGCTGGTGGGGTACATGCCTGTTGTAATCCTCGTGTTAGAGAGGCAAAGGCTGGAGTACGGTGGGTTCTAGGCCAGCCTCGGCTACACACGTTCAATACCGGCTTGAGTTGTGTAGTGAGAGTCTGTTTCAAAACACCTAAGGGCTAGAGAGACAGCTCAGTGGTTAAAAGCATGGGCTGCTTCCCCAGAGGGCCTGGGTTCAATTCCCAACACTCAAGGTGGTTCACAACCATCTCTAACTCCAGTTCCGGGGGACATGGCTCCCTCTACTGGCCTCCACCGGTACCAGGCACAGATACACATGCAGACAAAACAGCCATTCACATAAAATGGAAAAAACTAACAGAAGCAGCAGCCAAGTGTAGCAGTACCTGTCTGTAATGGCAACACCTGGGGAGGAAGGGCAGGAGATCAGGAGTTAAAGGCCAGCCTCGGCTCAGAACAAGTTTGAGGCCAGCTACATAAGGCCCAGTTTAAAAAAAAAAAAACAGCCGGGCGATGGTGGCGCACGCCTTTAATCCCAGCACTCGGGAGGCAGAGGTGGGCGGATCTCTGTGAGTTCGAGACCAGCCTGGTCTAGAGAGCTAGTTCCAGGACAGGCTCCAAAGCCACAGAGAAACCCTGTCTCGAAAAAACCAAAAAAAAAAAAAAAAAAAAAA